ACTTTTATAAAGTCAACTTTCATCAAATATTCAGGGGAATTATAACCCTCGTTAGATACCGCAGGGATCCCATAACACAAAAGAAACCTCATCCAAAACCTCTAGGCACCAAGCAGAATTCAACGGATCAACTTCAATCACAAAAGCTGCCGTAAGTAATAATAAAGAGTAAGAACAATTATTTGTATTTCAATTGGCCTTCTCCAGGACCACAGCCAGGCAAGCCGCTATTTTTACCATTTAAGATTCGATCTTCAAGCGAACCGCGCGCCCATTTCGGAGTGCCGTGACCCGTAGAATCTTCTAAAAGGATAAATACGTCATAAACATTAGCGAACCCCTTCAGCATTCTTCGCTTCTTCAGCTATACCGACGATGCCCGTGAAAATGGCACGGTGAATCGGGCCCCATTGAAGGATGTAATCGTCTTCTTTCAAACCATCCTAAAAAAAGAAAGTGCTTTTAACCATGAAAAATTACCTCATCAGCCGGGCCACCAGGCAACACATTGATCACACGGGCAAAAGGGTCATTACTGAGTGCGATGGACAATCTCGAAATCTTCCTTTTGAGTCTCGAGCTCGGAGGCGCCGGCTTCCTTCCGGAGTCTCTCATCAGCGTGGGCAGCCTCCAGTGACTCAGCAATCTTCGCTAAAAACACTGATATGGTAGGAATGAGTGGTTAGCGATACCTTGGAGGGCCTTCCTATCATTGGCCAGTCGGATCAGCTGAACCCGCGAAGTTCGAACTGCATACACATCAATAGAGGGAATCGGGAATCCTTCGGAGTCGACGAGGGGCGAATCCATCGTAGAGCGATTCTGAAATACTACTTTGTTATTCACACTCCTAGCGCACCTGCTTCAAGATACTTTCTTCCAATGCGATTTTGGAGTCGAGGTGGTCACGCTCGCGCAGCAGCTTCTTGAGGTCGTCCATTTCGACGGGGAACTAGGAAAATGAATATTTGTAATTAGAAGTGGGAAGAAAAGGTTATTTGAGGTTGGGAAGAAAGAGGAAGCGAAGATTGTTAGTTAAAGATGTAGTTGTCCCCCACTTTTGTATCTAGAGTGCTACAGTGTTCTAGTATATCAAAATGTTCCCCTGGTCTCATTAGCAAGAATAAATTAAATTACAGTTCAAAAAATAAAGTAATGAAAAATACTTCAGGCTCAAAAGTAAAAATCTCGGCTGATATGTAAATTAAACTCGAGCGAGTTGTTAGAATGTAAGTTGATTTACTGGTTCTAGAATTTTAGATTTCCCGGGGTTAGGAAAAGAACGAAGCACAGAATCGAAGATAAAAACTTTGAGTTTCATAACATACAAAATTTGAAATTTTAAAAACGGAAATCGAATTCTAAAAAAAAAACAAAGGAGGAAAAATCGAATATTGTCTTATTTGAAGTTTATGAGCCTGATATAAAGCCGCCTTCCGTTCTCGAAACCGACTTATCATTATCGAGCTGAACAAAGGCCGAGGCTTCGATGACAAAGCAAATGTTCAACCGGCCACGTCTCGCCACGATTCCCCTTCGGCCTAGCTGACGATTCCAGTGCATGCAGACAGCCGGACATCTGGCCGGCCGACATCCGATGAACATCTACGTCGACTGTGTTGTAGACGTTCAAAAATTAATAAAAACACGTTATATGCCTAACATTACACCATATAGACTCCTTCGCATGGTTGCCCTCTCAAATACCAAAGATTGAAACGTATTCTCTTCGTATACTTTCCAACTCGGCGTTTTTTCTCTTGTTTTTATACGTATTCTACAATTTTATACGTATTCTGCTGAAATCGGAAAAGATCAATCCATTTTTCAGGTAAAAACCGTGCTCCATGGGGCGCGCCGAATTTCAGTACGATGAAGTCGGAAATACATTCTACTATGTCCTGATCTCTTTCTATGCCATCGTCTTGATCCCGATCACTTATTTTATCCTCCCGAACAGGCATAAAGGTAAGCTTATCGATAGCTTGGCCAACTTTGTTTAGAAGAAAAGGTGGTTGATGAAACTCAATGCCAATGTCGGGGCTGTCTTGTCAAACGTGATCGGAAAGAGGCTAACAAGCCGTGGAAGCGTACAAAGGTCTTTCTGAGGATAGCTTTTTGCTTGGTATGTTGTCCTTGATCTTTTTGGTTATTATTTTGTTCAGCTGCCTGGGGGAATCTTCTTCATTCTCGCCAACAAGGTTGCTTCCATTGAAGTGACCCACAATGAATACGATCCATACGCGATTCTGGGGGCTCGATACGGTTTGTTATCAAGAGATTTTTACCCTTATTTTAGGGTGCCGAAGCTGGAGAGATCCGTAAAAATATCGTGAGCTTACGAAGAAGCTCCATCCTGATCGGTAGTGCTTCCTTGCGAAACTTATTTCTCATATTTCAGCGGTGGCGATCCTGTGGAATTCGATAAGGTGGCAAAGGCCTATCAAGCTCTGACGGACGATGAAGCTCGGCAGAATTGGGAAAAATATGGAAACCCCGATGGACCTACAGGTTTTCACATAGCCTCAATTTTTGAACTGCTTTTTTTCAGCAACTACGTTTGGAATTGCGCTTCCCAAATGGCTCGTTTCCGAAGGAATATGGAGTATGGGTCTTGGCTTTTTACGGCATGCTGTTCATGATCGTCCTACCCGTGGCCGTCGTAGGTTAAGAAATTCGGATCAAATCCTTTCTTAGGGGAATCTGGTGGTACAATTCGATCAAGTACAGTCAAGATAAGGTTCTCCTCGATACGACCCAACTCTTTTATTACTTCATTCACCGGACGCCAAAGATGGAGATCAATCGTAATTACTCGCCTTTTTACGAAAAACATTTTATCAGGAATGCTAATGGTTATGACTGGCGCCTTCGAGTTTTCGAAAAGCTACAATGCCGAGGTTGTCGAGCGTGAAACCGACGACACATCACTGCCACGTTTGATGAAGCATTTTCCAAATTTGGGTGAAAACAGAAAAGAGAGGCCTTTGTGTATGCCATATGCTCTAAAGGTATTTCAAACTTTTTCGAACTTCAAGGAATGTTTAGGCTCGAATTTTGGCCTACGCTTACCTGTCCCGACAAGATTTGGAGAACGCAGATTTGGAAACTGATCAAACGTTCGTGCCAATGTTTCGTGTTAAAAATGTGGTTTAGATACATTCTTACAAGGCTACACCGCTTGATCGAGGAATTCGTCTCCTGCACGCAACAGCTGACATTTTATTCTCAATGCAAAGTTCCGTTCGAGACGATGGAGAATGTGTTGAAAAACATTGCCGATGTTTACTCAGGTAATTTTTTATTCTTGTTCATACAAAAATCTTTCAGGCCCTATGGCCCAAATCTTCCCCATTGCTGCAATTGCCACACATTGGTGATCACAATCTGAACTTTATCAAACGGGTCAGTCATCTGTCACTTGGACAAAAAGATTTTTTTTCAGAACAAAGTGCACAATTGCCCCCAGTTGGCGAATTTGGACGAGCAGAAACGGAAACAAGTTTTGAACTCATTGGACGAGATGCAGTACCGCGATGTGCTGATTGTTCTCTCATCGATGCCCCAGCTCCAGATCGACACTCACTTTGAAGTAGCCGGCGAGGATGATAAGCATGAAGTCACGGCTAAATGCCTCGTGACCCTAAAAGTCACACTGACCCGTCGCTCGCTCCTTGACCGTAGCGTGGTGCCTGCAGAGGATGATTATCGTGCCAAGAGTGCCGATGAGAACAGCGGCGATGAGAATGAAAAGTCTGATGATGAGGACGAGGAGAAGAAGAAAGAAGAAGAGGAAAAGAAACCGAAGCGAAAGGTCTGGGAGAAGCAGCCGAAGAAAGGAAAGGGCAAACCGAAGCAGAAGCCGAAGCCGAAGCCAAAGGCCCCTGCGGCGGCTCCTGTAGAGGCTTCGCCCGAACCATCCCAGCCGACCACTTCTGTCGGAAACACACCGTCCGAGGCTTCGCCGAAGAAGAAACCAAAGAAGCCCGCCAACGGTGACTCAGAATCTGTAAGTCGTCTCGCTTCATTGTCTAATCTTTATTTGTAGGACGAGGAATCTCAGTCTTCGGGATCCGAGGAACCGGCCCAGTCTGGTGGGGACCAAGACGACAGCGACGTCGACGAAGATTGGGCAAAGCCGCCGAAGAATATCTTCGAATCAAAATCAAAAGAAACACATCCGGTTCACGCGCCATTCTACCCAGGAGGTTTGACATTCTATGTGGATTTTTTTGATTGATGGTTCAGAGAAATTTGAGTGGTGGTGGTTGTCATTGACACTCAAGGACCACAAGCAGCACCGGCGGTTAGTCGCACCGGTGACGCCGTGCAAGACGTTGGTGGACAGCCAGACGGTACTAATTTCCACAAAAATGAAAATTACCTTCTTTTAGATCGAGATGAGGTTTAACGCCCCTGATGAAAAGGGAATATACACGTTCACTCTTGGCGTGCATTCTGATTCGTACATGGATGCAGACTACAGTCGTGACTTGAAAGTAATCTCCTTTTGAGGTTCTTTAGGATTCCCGGGGAAAGTATTTCGGGGAAACAAATTTTTTTCGGCGAAAGCCTAGATTTTTGTATAAATTGCGGATGCGTTTCTAAATTGTTTTTAACTATTCCTGTGCATAAAAACTACACACATTTTAACCAAAAAAATGTAAAAAATTAAAAATTAGGTCGAAAAATAGACCCAAAATGACCAAATTTTCGACTTTTTCAAACATTTTTCTAAATTTTTCTGAAAGTTATTCCGCTCTAAATATAGTTAAAACTTTGGTAAAAACAATTCGAAAACACTTTATATTTGATTACTAAGCCAACCGGGACCACCAGGAAAAAAATTGGTTCCCCCCCGGGAATCCTAAAGAACCCCTTTTTATATTCTTACGCATAATTTCGTTTAGTTGGATGTCAAGGAAACCAAGATAGTCGCCGCGCCCAAATACGAATCTACCGACGATGAAGAGGAGGAGAAGGCCGACGCTTCATCCGAGGAAGAATATACCGAAGAAAGCGATGATGAGTGATAAACTTTCCTTTCTGAATATGGCCTTGTCATATCTCTGTGTCTATATGCCATTTGAAACCAAAATGTTCTTTCCCTGAATATTTGCGAGATCATTCCTTCATTTGGCGTCTGGGGTTTTGTTTGACCGATTTTCTTGTTGTTGCACAATGTGATGATTCCCACGGTATTTCTCTTGGTACTGTCATAGTAGAATGTCCTTTTTAGTGAGTAGTATCATCGTATTTATGCTGTGTTTCCGATGAATACACGTTTTATGAACCTTTCAGAGTATGCATAGATATTCCAGTGAAAAGAGGATCGCGAATCTTGTAAGCGGAAAACAGAGAATATGTTTTTACATCGTCACTCTGCTTTTCTTTCTGTCTAGAGTGGCCACGCTGCCTGGGTGGTGTAGATTTTCATAAAACCGCCATGCGCCTTTGCACGCGACTGACCTTGGCGGGGCGCTAAAATCTGACAACCACCTGGTATTCATTGCTTTGGCGCGCTTTTGTTGCCACCACTTGATTGTTCTATGGTTCTTCTCGATTCATTTTCTTCAAATTCTATATACTCGAGTTTCAGTCCGAACATGTGCAAGCGGAAGTATGCCGTGATTGCCTCTATGGAAGATGAAACCCAAATGCAAAAGCTTATGTTCGTTGCTTTGGTCTTGCTTTATAGATTTTAGTGAATTCGGTCGCTGGTTCTTGCCACTTGTCAGCGCGAAGACCTGCGATTTGGGAATCATGTTCGAAATCGAGGTATTTGTTGTTTGAATATGCCGCATCTCTTTTTATTTTAGGAACAAGAGACTGTCCACTACTATGCCCCGGTAAACGACGGTGTCCGGGTTGCGGAAATTTATGAGGACATTTTTGAAGTAGCCTATCCCTTCCGAACTTATGCTGGTGTTTGCTAGAAGCACCCGTCCGTCTCGCTGGTCATCCACATCCTCCCGTTCAAGGATTCAATCGAATACAAGTATGTTATTAGTTTTTAGTAGTTTATACTTGGCGGTTGAGGTGGATGAAAACATTGACTGCGCGCTATGGACTGATTCGCCAGGGAATTCTGCTGGAAAATGCCTTGAATAAGTGAGTATAATTTTTGGCTGCTCGAGCTCTATCTGCAGATTTGCCGACTTGGATCGTGAAATGGTGCTCGGCAACGTGGCCCAGTGGATTGGACGGGAGGCTCTGAAGAGCTCTGGTCTCGGAAAGGCTGCTGCTATGTAAGGAAAATTTCAATCCTGTAAAACGAAGTATATTAGGTCCGAGGTATCCCATGATCTGACGGTCAAACGCATCGTCGACTCAAACAATGACAAGGATAATGCCGAGACGCAGATTCCTCGCTTCAATCAAGCACTCGTTAGCCAATCTGGCCAATTGCTTCACGATCTCACAAAAGGTAATTTTTTGATGTCTTTAAAGGATTTAGTAGTTTTGGTTTACTTTCTCATGCTGATTTATGCCTTTTTTGGCCCAAACTATTTAAATTTAGAAAAAAATGGTATCCTGGCTGATGTGGACACGGCGACCTTGTCTTTTGACGGCTTCCCATTGAACGTCTCCAAGTTTTCAGTTGGCGCCCTTTTCACGCCGTTTATCATTTCTGACGTAATATTGCCTACATTGCACTAAACGGGCTTTTAGATCCGGGTCGACGGAACCGCGGCTTCGGTTACATTCGTCAACAAATTCCACGCGTTTCAAGCCGCTCAAAAATTCTCGGAGCTTTCCTTCGAGGGAAAACCTCTCAAGGTACTGTCGCTTTTGTAGTCTACTAATTTGTTTAGATGACGAAGATTAGCGCAGAGCTGCAACAACGACTCACCCCGGTCGCCTAGAACTCTTCCTAAAAATTACGGTTTTTAAAAATGTGAGTGTCACCGGTACGCCTCAGCCTCAAAAATTGATCTCGTTACCTTTTCACGATTGGAATTGGGCAAGGTTTATAAACTTGTTTTTGCCTGACACCGAATTTATACGCGATACTCGATGTTGTTCTGTTTTTGCGGACCCGTGTATTTGGAGCGCAGTGCCAGTTATTGGTCCGAATACACCTAAAAACATCTGCGTCTCTCTCCTTAAATAGGGCGTAGATCGCGATAGAAGACCGGAACTTGAACGTGGGCCTTTCGTTCTTCCCAAGAAATAACGCCCAGAAAAAAAGAATTGTGC